CTAGATATCTCAGCTGTGCAAGCTACAATATTGATTCATCTGGGTGGAATGAAATATGACTAGCAACAGTGATACAGAAAATTCTGTTGATCTGATTTCCTCTCCCTCTTACTTTTCCTGACCATGAATACCTTAACCTCCAGTAGTCCAGCTGATGAGTGAAAAAAAAGGCTCTGAGATAGGAGTAGTTTCAAAACTGTTGCAAGTTTAAGCCCATGGTTCCCCCTTAAAACTGGTCTAAATATAAGGAACAAAATGAATGTATGATGGTATGGGGGAATCACAGTTATCATCACCAGATACAATTAATATCCCATCTACCATATGAGCACCCAAGCATCCTTGGACAAAGTCTTCACTACAAATTGGCATACAGGCATATTAATTTGGATGCATCACCAAGGATTGTCTAATACAGGAAAAGCACTGATAATTGTCATTTTTGCCTGCCCTTGTTTAGTAAGTGATGTAGTAAGTCAGTCTCTTTTTATTCTATTTCTACTTAATGGGTGGCGTCAACACGCAGCTTAAGGCTACTTCGCATAACAGCAAAAAATTGGTTTTCCGAAGGGATTTTTTTGACTCTGAAAATGGAACTAACCATTCAAAGAAAGTTTTAAAGTCATTTGCTCAATTCCCTGGAGTAATTATTCTCAGACGGTAGAGCGACAATTCAGATGTCAGCATTCTAACATCGCAGATCATTTTAGAAGACACATTCAGCTCATGCACTTATCTATTTTTGTAGGTCAAAATGAAAGTAATTTGGGGGACTGTAACAAAAATTTTCTTTCCCTCATCAATTTGAAAAGTGAAGTACTGCGAGGAGTGATGTGAAGTGCCATCCTTTTCCTCTGGGTCACTTGGAGCAAGTCTACACTAGAAACTCGAAGCATGGCAAAGGCACATAGGGATGTGAATTCTTGATATCCCTATGCTGGCAAAAAACCCCCACCAAAACGGTAATTGCAGTTTTGTGTGTTTAAAATGCTTTTTCCAGTACCATTATTCCATTACTCATCAAACCCACGCATTCTCTCTTTCTTCTCTCTGTTTACAGGAGAAGGACTGGTGAAGACCTGAACTGAAGAGCTGACCAGCCGTACAACTGTACCCACATCATATGAAGGAGTAGTAAATGCTGTTCTGACCAGTGCTAATGAAAAGGCTAAACGAGCATTAATGGAACTCTCATCACCGCTTGGCCCAAAACAGACATCAGGAGAAGAAATGATCTTCTGAAGGACTTCTCTGACCCCACTCACAGGATATTAGATATGAAGAAAAAAAAGGCATTTTTGGCAATCCATTCAATACTATACCTCTGAATGTGTAAACATATTTCCCAGAAGTTTTATCACCTCATGGTACCTGGAGACCGCATTTAGAGCCGTGAGGAGCAATTGGTCACTGCGAACCGTCTGCAGCTTCAGTTAGTAACGCTACAGTTGGGGTAGCACAGTAATGAGCAAGGGAAGAGGATATGGCAGTTGAAACCATCATGACACAACCCACTTTCAGATTCTATTTTTATATACCTGGAGAACAGTATTTCCAGGGTGTTCTTTTTCTTGCTTATTATTTTATATTAAAAATAATTCTTAACTGACAAAAGAATCTCAAAGATCTAAGTAGCCGATTATACTGATGAAACTCTGAAATTGATTACACACAATATACTGTCAAATCACCTAAATAAGCCAACCTGAAATTTAAGAAAAAAATGTTTTCAGAATATATTTTTCAAATTTACTGTGTTCCTTCTATTAATTGAAGTGCACTGTTTTTATACTACCTATAATCTCTGATATCTCTGTGTATAGCCACTAGAATATGAAAGCATAAAATGTATAAATGATAAATGTCACAATAGTATTTGTTTTCATATTTCAAATATATTAGGAAACATGACTTCCTTTCTTGCTCATGCCTTTTCCTCTAAAGACATAAAAAGCAGCATACTGAAATCTCCAAGCGATCTTCCACCTTCAAGCTCAGGAGACGTATCAGGATGAAACTATGTTTTTCAACAGATTCCTTTATTGCATCTAAAGAAATTCAATAAAACATTGTAATAATACTGTGAATGGCGTCATTTTAGCTTTAGAAGTATGATGGGAGCAATTACAGACACCTGCCTTAGCAGCAGGCACAGAAAAAATAAACGGCGAAACCACCACCTCCGGAGAGCTTCATCAAACAAATTGCAGGCAGAAGCCAGGCCTACAATCACTTTTAGCCCTGCCTTGGCAGATGACGTTGGATTCCAGTCCCAGCAGTGACATTTCTTAACTGCTCAGACCTTGAAAGCAAGCATTAGAACTACTGTGATTCAAGTGTTCACCTACGAAATGACTCCTTTCCTAGAACTCCTTCGTGCTCATGATGCTACTTTGTGGATTACTTAAAAACGCCCTGGCTGAATCGATGGAGATGTTTACTATGCATCATGCCTTCCACTGTCCTCATTCTAAGAGAGATGCTAGCTTACATGTTAAAGGCTAAGGCTGCAGTGTTCAGAGGAAATAAGGTATCTTCTTGTTTGAAAGATGCTGCTAGTTCTGCACAAACACAGAAGAAACTGTCAAAACATAATCTAGGTGCCAGAGTACAGCTATAAAACACTTACTAAAATCCCTTAAAAAGCAGGAAAGACATGATTCATGAGACAGTTGAAGAGTTTTACTTACATAAGTGCAAGATAGAGACCTGAATATGCTTTTGCATTTATAAGAGGTTTATATTTAGCAAATAAAATTAATTTTAATTTCCTCATCATTCAACTAATTCAGTCCTATGTTATGACATCAATTATTTTACCTTTTCCTAGAAAAGGATTTGGCCAATGTAAGGGCTTTGTCTGCTTTGGGGAAATTATTCCCCTTGAGTCACACTGATCCACTTTCTCACACAAACTCACAGATCTTGTATTATGGTCCACTTAAGGTATATTTCAAGTCCCAGTTCTGAAAACAAGAAAATGAATTAAAAAACTCTCAAACTAATAATAAACTGTCCCCGCTTAGTTTTAAAATGAAACATGGTCTTGCAAGATCTGTTTCTGCAGGATTGGGTTTTAGTAGGATTCCTCCTCTACCTACTCTTTATTTGTCTATATATCTCATTTCGATCTCTTCATTAGGGATGAAAACACATTTGCCAGTGAAATTCAATATAAACCATTTTAATGACTGTTCAATATTTAATCTTTGTGCAATTGACATCTAATTGTTGTTGACATTTAATTGCATCAATTTCTAAAGATTCCCTTTTTTAAAGAGCTTGCACTACAGGGCACTAATATTCAGACCACACGCCCCACATACCCTCACTTCAGGATCCCAGTGTTGTCATCAGAGAGGAGATGATTCCTGGGGAAGCCAGGTGTTTCCAGGAACTGTGCAGGGAGAGAATTTACTTCTGCTGTTTATACATACAGCTGATACAGGCTCCTCACTTCAGGCAGTGCAAAAAAATACCAATTGTCCATAATGTGCCTATTTTGCTTGACCTATGCATAATTTTAGATAAATGTAAATAAAAATACTGATGAATTATGCTATATACATATTTGTATATGTTTACTTTTCCTACTAAACAAATTCTGCTGTTTTCATCTGCAGTGTCATGTTGCAAACGAAGCGTGGAACCACAGGAGAAAGGCATCTCCCACTTGTGCAGCAGATTTTTCAGCATAGTCCAGACATTTGGGAGAAGAATGAAGTGCTTTGGGTGCCATTTGAGCTCTGGGCACGCAGTTCTCTCAGAGACGGAGGAGAAGTTTATTACGTGGGAGATATGTCATTCTCTCCTCTGTTCTCATCAGATGTTTGAGTCCCAGTTCTCTTTGGCACTCTTAGCGTTATCACACGTGCCTTTTTCACGTAGGCATTTATGGGGTTCCTCCTCAGACCTGTATCATGCTCTGCCCCTCACCCCGTTGCCTGGGAGCGAAGACAGCCTTAGCTCTTGATTTGGAAGCCAGTCTGAAGGACAGCATGATGGAGCTCTGGGACGGTCAGGAACACGCAGTGTTGGCACAGCAGCATGGCTGTCAGGTTGCAGTGCGGAGTCTGGGTTCAAGGGGCTTGTCTGTAGCCTCACAGTCACCGTGACCTGATGGTACTTGTCTTTCGTACATCTTTTGGGCTTTCCCACGGATAAACTGTGTTCAGGAGAAGACATGTGTCTTCTCTCCTAAATTACTGTCATAGGGAAGAGCCTCAAGACTCCAAACACACAGAGGTTGGGGGAGGGCAGGGGGAGTCGCTCAGTACCCTCCTACAGGAGAGGCTGCTATGTATGCCGGGTCCCAGGAGAAAAGATTCAGACACCAACAGGCTCCCCCCCAGAGTCGTGTGAGGCATTGGACAGGCACCAAAAAGCCCTCAAACCCTGAAACAGCAGATTTTTGTGGTGAACCCAGAACATAAATGGACATGGATGCTGTGGTGAATGGTTTGATGATCTTAAGGATGTGGTTAGGTTCTGCTGACTTAGGTATTATTCAGGGTTACTGCAGTAGGGTAAGGTATCACTATAGTTATTTGACGTTATACAGCTTTACTGTTTTTTTTGTTTGTTTGTTTTAATTACATGAATTTTCTGTGTGTTGTCAGCACACTTATACCGCAACTAACCCATCCCAATAGGTCCCCAGCAAGAGTAGCAATGACCTCTAGCTTTGTCTTTCCGGCAAGCCCCACAAAAGCAAAGCTTCAGTCTTCGATGTAACCATAAAACGCACTTGGCATTAAGACTGAAGTGAGCAACACTTCAAAATTTATGACAAAACTCTTCACTGTTACCGACCACCAGTTTTCAGCACGCCGGCTTTATTTTAACAAAGGGCCCGGACCAATCAAACTTTAAACAGGCGACGGCGACGGCCGCCCCCGCCCTGCCTCCCGCCCTCAGGCGCGCGCCGGCGGCCGTTACCTCGCCCCGCCCCGCTCGGGGCGGCCGGAAGTGGCGTGCGGCCGGGGGCGGGGCGGCGGGGGCCGCGTGCCGCTGTGAGCCGCCATGGCGGCGCCGCTGGAGGTGGCGGCGCAGCTGGAGAACCTGGCGGTTGGGCCCAGCGCCGCTGGCCCGCCGCCGGGCTCCACGGAGGGGCCGCCGGGCTCCACGGAGGGGCCGCCGGGCTCCACGGAGGGGCCGCCGGGCTCCACGGAGGGGCCGCCGGGCTCCACGGAGGGGCCGCCGGGCGCCACGGAGGGGCCGCCGGGAGCGCCGAGCCCCTCCCGGGAGGGCGGCGGGGAAGGCCAGGCCGGGCCGCCCCCCGCCGAGGGAGCGCGCTGCTCGCCGCCGCCGCCGCCGGCGAGTCCCAGCCGGCCTCCTGCCGCCGGCTCCTCGTCGGACTCGGAGAGGTGGGTTCAGCGCCGGGGTCGGGGCGCGTCGCTGCCCGCGGGTCGCTTTCCCCTCTCCCGCCTTTCCGGCGGCGGCCCGTGTGGCCCCGCGGCTCCGCGCCCTGCCAGCGAGGTGTCCGAGTCCGCCCGCTCCCCCCCTCTCCGGCGTTGCAGCCGCTGTAGCTTTCTCATGAAAGATGACGTTTTTAGTCGTGTTTCACAGGGAGTCTTCTCGTTGTATTAATAACCCTCCGAAACAACGAATGTAAGGGTAGAGAATGTAGTGAAAGCGTGACTGGGGTGGTGGTGGTGGCGCTCTGTGGAGCGTCGTGGTTGGCTGGGCCACCGCGGCTGTTTGGATGGCTTGTTTGCCGTCGTCCTCACAGAGTGCTCCTCTGTCACTTGTGACAAGGCGCCTGCAGTGTCATTGCTGAAAAAACCTGCACGTAGGAGTCAACGTAGACTCTGCGGGTCTTAACTGGTGCTCTAATGTTGCCTCGGTGGAAAAGCTCATTCTCAACCTGAATGTTTTTTGTAAAAGGTTCCACCTTCTACTTGCATTGGTGCTTTGGTGTTCAGTTTAGTTGTTGAAAGGTAACTTTGGCTAGATGTGGTGGGCTCTGTTTCAGTCTTACAAGTCAGTTATAGTGAGGTGTTTGTTTTCTTTTTGGGCCTTTTCAGCAAGATGGGTTCCTCTAACTAGTGGAGGCTGAAATTAAGTTTAAGGATCTCCTTTTTAAAAGGCGATACAGAGCTTTACTATCAGTTAATGGGTTAAAGCTTGACTTTGGAAATACTTTCTTTGCTCAGTTCAAAGTTTTTGTAGAATATCGTGAAGCGATGGAGAGCAAAATTCCTGACCCATAGCAGGGACTTCACCTGTAGTCTTTTTTTGCTTCCAAAATCTTGAGCTGATGTCCAGATGAATATCAAAGATGAAATTTTGATAGCTTTACTTAACTGTCTATGTGTGTCTCAGACTTTTCTCTTCTTCAACTGAAGGTAGTCTGACTGATTTTTGTCTTTCTGCTATGTTGATTTTGTTTCATTCAGCAGTGAAACAGTGGGAACCCAAGTGAGCTGTTGTAGTTGTCAGCATTTGATCTGAATTGCCAAAGCTACCACTCTTCTGAGATTTTCTTTTTTTGATCTTGTCCAATGACTTGTAGGTTCAGGAAAGATTGCTGCTCTTCTGTATACAAATGTATACATTTAAGAAAAACCTATCTGGTAACCAAAGGTATTTAAGTAATACATAATATAGCCACTCTTTTCATCAGTAATGTAGAAGTCTGTGTTCTAACTCCCATGTTTGTTTTATTCAGTGATACAGATTCAGATAGTTCATCAACTACATCTTCCTCTTCATGTTCTCCTTCAACAGTATCTGATGAAGATGATCATCCAAATGAGAAGGATAACAGATCTTACTGTGTTAAAACAAAAGATGAGTTGCCTGTTGATGTAAGTACAATGTGTTACCTTTTAAAACTTTTTTCTAGTAAACCAACTTAAAATATTTTAACTTAATGTACTTTTAAGTCATTGCAATACCTACTGATTGAATATATGTTTTTATACTAGTTCAGGTATAGCACAGTTTGTAATTTCAGATGTCTTATTTTTCAGTATAATAAGGCCACTTTGAAACAGGGTTCATATCTCATTTTAGGTTCATATTTGTGTAAAATCACAGTTGTGATTAATGAAAACAAATTTCTGGATAAAATTCTGGGTATTTTAGTACGTTTTTAGTGGTTTGTATATTGCAGGCTTTCATCATCCTTTCTCTGATATGTATTACAGGCATATTTCAAGTATGTTTAACTTTGAGGTAAAAATTTCCGATGTTTGATTAAGCCTTCTAGAGGTTCATATTGCATTGCCTCTACTCACTTAAGCAAAATTATTAGAGTGGTCATAGAAATGGTTTGTATTTGTTTTATTCTGCAATTTTTGTTATAGCACTGTTTTATGTATTGCAGATGAGAACCTTAATTTGCATCAAGATACTGTCATTTGGATTTGGTTCTCATAAATAACATACTCATTCAGTATTGCTGCCATTATTCCTCATTATTTCAAAATTAAGTTTAAAGGAATGACTTTAAGTAATAATCTACTAATGGATGAGTAGCTATGCATCATTTGTAATATAACAATGTAATGTCAATTTGCCTTAACAGTATATCAAATCATAGAGTGGTTTGGGTTGGAAGGGACCTTAAAGACCATCCAGTTCCAGCCCCCCTGCCCCGGGCAGGGCCCCCTTCCCCCAGCCCAGGGGGCTCCCAGCCCCGTCCAACCTGGCCTTGAACCCTTCCAGGGAGGGGGCAGCCACAGCTGCTCTGGGCACCCTGGGCCAGTGTCTCACCACCTGCACAGGGAAGAATTTTTTCCTTTCACCTAGTCTAAATCTACACTCCTTCAGTTTAAAATTTCTACCCCTTGTCCTATCCCTCCACTCCTGGATAAGAATCCCTCCCCACCTTTCCTGTAGGCCCTGTTTAAGCACTGGAAGGCCGCTATAACGTTTCCCTGGAGCCTTCTCCAGGCTGAACCAACCCAACTCTCTCAGCCTGTCCTCATAGGGGAGGTACTTCAGTCCCTTGATCATCTTTGTGGCCTCTGAACCTACTTGAGCAGGTCCACATCCTTCCTATGTTGGAGGCCCCAGAGCTGGACCCAGCACTGCAGGGGGGTCTCCCAAGAGCAGAGCAGAGGGGGAGAATCCCCTCCCTGGCCCTGCTGCCCACGCTGCTCTTGATGCAGCCCAGGACACGGTCGGATTTCTGGGCTGTGAGCGCACATTGCTGGCTCACAGTCAGTTTTCCACCCACCAGTACCCCCCAAGTCCTTCTCCTCAGGGCTGCTCTCCATCCACTCCTCACCCAGCCTGTATTTGTGCTTGGGATTGCCCTGACCCATGGGCAGGACCTTTCACTTGGCCTTGTTGAACTTCATGAGGGTTGCTTGGGCCCACCTCTCCAGCCTGTCCAGACACCTCTGGGTGGCATCCCTTCCCTCCAGCCTGTCTACAGCACCACACAGCTTGGTGTCATTGGTAAACTTGCTGAGGGTGTGCTCAGTCCCACTGTCCACATCACCAACAAAGATGTTAAACAGCACTGGTCCCAACACTGACCCTTGAAGAACGCCACTTGTCGCTGTCTGCCCTTGAACACTGAGCTGTTGACCGCAACTCTTTGAGTGTGACCATCCATCCACTTCCTTATCCACCAAGTGGTCCATCCATCAGATCCATGTCTCTCCAATTTAGAGACAAGGATGTCATGCAGGACAGTGTCAAATGCTTTGCACAGGTCCAGGTGGATGATGTCACTTGCTCTTCCCTTATCCACCAGTGCCGTAGGCCTGTTGTAGAAAGCCACAAAATTTCAGGCGCGATTTGCCCCTAGTGAAGCCATGTTGGCTGTCACCAGTCTCCTCCATGTTTCCAGGAGGATGTGCTGCATGATCTTGCTGGGCACAGAGGTGAGGCTGACAGGTTTGTGGCTCCCTGGGTCCTCTTTATTTCCCTTTTTAAAAATGGGTGTTATGTTTCCCCTTTTCCAGTCAGTGCGAACTTCACTGGACTGCCCCAACTTCTCAAATAGTATGGATAGTGGCTTAGCCACTTCATCTTCCAGTTTCCTCAGGATCTGCAGATTTACCTCATCAGGTCCCATGGACTTGTACACCCTTCAGGTTCCTTAGCTGCTCTTGAACCTGCTCTGGTCCTTCAGTGAGCAGTTCTTCATTCTCCCAGTCCTTGCCTTTGCCTTATGCAACTGGTGCGGTGTGACTGAAGCACTTGCTAGTGAAGACTGAGACAAAAATGTTGTTGAGTACCTGAGGCTTCTCCATATCCCAGGTAACCAGGTGTCCCATTTCCTTCCAGAGAGGGCCCACATTTTTTCATAGTCTTCCTTTTATCACCAGCATACTTATAGCAGCTTTTCTTGTTGCCCTTGACATCCTTGGCCAGATTTAATTCAATTAAGGCTTTGTCCTTCCTAACCTGATCCCTGGCTGCTTGGACAATTTCTCTGTATTCCTCCCAGGTTACCTGTCCTTGCTTCCACCCTCTGTAGGCTTCCTTTTTGTGTTTGAGCTTGTCTAGGACCTCCTTGTTCATCCATATGTTTATTACTGTGTAGATCTCTACTCTTCATAAAAAAGGCTTTTTGGAATGGGAAACAGGTCAGGTGAAGGGTTCAGAAGGTTGTTAGATAGGCAGAGAAAAAAAATCCCTGAAGAGCAGATACATTTGGATACATTTAGCTTTGCTTCAGTGCTTTGTAAGAGTTTGTAATAAAGTGCTCTGTCTGGAAAGGCTGAGGAATTGACATGCATTAGTGGTAGCAACAACAGGAGATGGAAGCTTGTTAATTCTTAAACTGTTGCTCTGGAGACACTGGAGTAAAGAAAAGCTCTTAGGATATTCTTTTATCTCTGAAATTAATCAAATGTTGAGAAATACACATAACATTGTGTTTTGAAGGAGTAAGACATCAGAGCAATTCGTGCTTATGTGCACTCGTTTTGAAGTATGATTAATAGTAGAAGCATTGTAAGTGCTTCTATGACAACACTTTTTTTTTTATAACACGGGACTTCTGAACAAAAATCCATGCTCAAATACATGTTCTTATCAAGTTTTGTTTACCTTTTATCTTAATTTTTTAAATAATATTAATGTTAATCTGAAAATGCTTTGTTCTGCTGTTTTTGTCTCAGATTACTAGCTTCAAGTCCCAGGAAACATTGACTTCCTTTTAATTACTGGTCTGATTAATTTAATTGGTTCAGCAAAGATAGAGCTTTTTTGACAATGATAGTTAATAACTGAAGTCCTAGCAGCTACATTATCTACTGTATTTTGTACTAAGCCATTCTACAGTAATAGAATTAGTCTATGTAAAAATGTTGTAGATTGTATTACATAAATTTGAGGCAATACAGTTTGAAAATCAGAATCTGTCTGTTGAAAAGGAAACATGATTAGTCTTTTACCCAGAAGTCCCCAATAATATCTAACTTGCTAAAGCATGGGTCAAAGATAATGATAAGATTAAAGGAAGTATTTAACTGGAATATGTGCTTAGGGGAAAAAACCTGCACGTATTAAGGAGTGTTAGTGTAACTATTTTAGAAACCCCCTGCTTTGAAGTGTAGGATTGGCAAATACTGTACATAATATGACAGATGGTACAGTTTACCAATTTGAAATCTATGATCAAAATTTTAGCTTTCTTCCTTCGGGTCTTTGTCCTTTGCATAACTCTGGTATCCGTGCTCAGTTAACTCTTAGCGATTAAGTTGGTTTAATATTGGAAAACTTACTGTCCTGTGGAAAGGTGTGGTGTTACTGTCTGAATTTGCATCTTGACTTTAATACGCTATTATATGAACTGGGAAAGCCCTGGCCTCTGTTTGGTCTTTGAGTTGCTCTATAAGCCTTTGCCAAGCACTTTTGTTAAGAGTGAAGATTGATTATCAGATGATGTTTTGATAAGACAGGATAAGATTCTTCTACTGGAGAGGGATTTTATTTCTGGTGATGGCCTTTAAAAGCGCAGTTCAGTGTTAAGGTTTGGACTCTACTTCCAAATTCAGAAGATGTTGAATTTTAAGATAATTCTCACTCTAGTTGCCCTTACCTTGTATTCCACACAATTCATATGGAATTCACTGCAGTATAGTATATACACAGAAATCTTAGTATATGAGTAAATTGGAGGTAGATGAGGAGTTCAGTGTTAATCAGCCTTTGGCAAATTTTGATGCTTACATTTGAGGAAAAAGTTTAATTTGACTATTTTTTTGTGCAGTACTCACTTGTGTATCTGAGGTTTGGCCTTTTTCTCGAAAGTGTTTTCTATGATTATCCTCTTGTACCAAATACAAATTCTAGCTAAAAATTATTTTCTGTGTTTAGACTGTTGTGATCTTTACATCTTCTATAATCATCTGAGTCATGGCATAAATGGACAGACACCATTTTGTTGAATCAGGTGATACGTCTGGTGTATTTCACACTGTTTTATCTCTTACTGGGTACATTTTTCTTCTGTCATGCATTGAATGTGGTTACAAGCTGTCTGAATTTTTGATTACTGATTATCTAATTATTGTGTTGTATATTGAACTTAATTTATCTAACTTGAAAGTTTTTTTAAAAAATGAACAAAATATCTATCAGTTGTTTTTCTCCAGTTGAATAAAATCGACTTCTATTTTAGTTGCAATGGGAATACATAGAGCAGCATCTCAATAGAAGAAGTGTTTTAAAAAGTGACATTCCCCTGGGATGAGGTAATTTAGAATTATTGTGAAAGAGAAAAATCAAGCTAGATTATTTTTATTAAATCTTCAAAATGCTAAGAGGTTTTCCTGATTTTCAAATTTATGCAGCGACAGAGTGATGAATGTCTTGGTGTGATGAGATTATATTCTGAACATTGACTTGATATTTTCAGGAACTGCCTCCTGTTGAAGATTTATCAATAATTCTGCCTGATGATGTTGAACTGAAGCTCTTTGGAACAGTTTCCAGCATCATTGAGCAGCTAGGTAGGCAAGATATGTTTGCTTTGTTTTTAATTAAAATTTCTGTATATCCCTGCAAAATTGTGTACTTAACTGTTCCTTCAAAATGTCAGTACTGTATCATTCTATTTCAGGGGGTGGTGGGTTGCTGAATGAGAACTAGGACTACTAAATGACTGTTGTTGAATTCCCTTTTAGTTGGCTTACATCTTCTAAAGATTAAGATACTGTAACTGTTCTGCATGTGTTTCTGTGCAACTTTCATGTTCTAATTTTTTCATAAAAAAAGCCTTTCTTCACCATGTGTTTTGATTTTTATATTAATTCTGGCAACAATAAGATTGAACATTTGCAGTATTTAAAGAAAACCCTGCAGTTGTACATGCTATATTTTAATTATTTCTGAAGATACAGGAGGTGTGTAAGTGAAAGCACAGATGCAGTACAGTGCAGTCCCAAGTGCTTGCTTGTTAATATATAAAGACAGGAAAACCACTTGTTTCTTTAGCAGTGCAGGTTCTTCTTTCTTTTTTTTTTGTTTGGTTGGTTGTTTTTTTTTTTTTATTCATCCTGCTTCTGGTACCTTGACCAAATGCAAGCTGCCAGTGTCAGCAGTCATAGAACAACATGACTAACGTGATTTACAGGTGCTGGAGGGTAAGCTTAGTGGGATTGAGACATACAGTGGATGTAAGTTTAACTGCAAGCTATATGCATTTAGGGATGTTTTCAGATCTACCTGGGACCTCAGGGTTTGGTATATGAAATCAGGGTCTTGGTGAAGCTGATACTAATAAAAGATCCATAGTATGTTTGAATTTAAGCTTATTCAAGTTTTCCATTCTGCTTGAACTGCCTTTGAAGCAATTTGCTTATGAAAATTAGAAAGTAAGTTCAATTTTGAAGTTAAAATATTTATGTTGAGTGGGATACAAAATAATGAATGCAAATAGCCTTTGCTATTAAATTTTCTTTTATTGTAAAAGACAATAATTGTAATACAGGTGATTCCTTTACAGTATTTTTGTTGGTGGTGTTGGTTTGGAGTTAGAATTAATTTCATTCATGTGTAGGAAGCTGGCTTAAAAGTGTGGAAGGTAATAATCTGGTCACTGTTCTTTTGTTTTACTTTGTTCTTTCTTGCTTATTGATAATAATTGGGACTTCAAGAAGGCTATATTCAGCTGAAATGATAGCTTGAAAATAAGAGAGACAGTTGAGTCGTGGTTTGCTATTATTTTTGATCTAATATGTGTATGTTTAAACAAAGCTGTTTTTAAAGACTTTAGTTTTTTTTAAAATTATCCTTAATTTCTAACCGTTCTTGGTAAGCATGACCCATGACCTTTCCAGATCTTGTCAGTACATGGATAAGTGAATTCTTCAGTCTGCATCCTACTTTATGTAACTGAAATATATGAAATGTTGAATTTAGTTGGTGAAAGTTAGAAAATAGGTTAATAATCATATGTGAAAGAAAGCTGTAAAAATGGAATAACCCCGCAAGATATCAGTGTTAATTTTCTGCTTTTACTACCTTGTTATCAGAACTGAAAAGAAAACAGGTAGAAAGAGGAAGTCATAAAACAAGTGCCTGACCTCAATTACAGTTGATTTGTGGCCATATTAGAGATTCTACCAGCTAATTGTGTGTTGGCTTTTGATTTTTGAACTAAGTTCATACCTGCGTATACTGGGCTTGTGTCTAGTATGAGGGCAGTTGAGGTCTCATTTGGAAACCACAAATATTATTTTGGGCTGCCAGTCAGTATTCCGAACACTGTGTCCTTCTGATGTATCAGAAAGCTCTGCTGTTCTCTGTAGCAAGCTTCCAGATTCATCATCTGCAGTGTGTGATGCCTGTGTTATGTTGGCTATTTCATACTGTGAGGTGAATTTAAGGCTAGAAGTATAGGTTCATGCTTGCTTCACTCTATCTAAAAGCAAGATGACCAGTCTTTCTGTGAACTTCTGCTCACTCTATCAGAATTGAACAGAACTTTTGCTATGCCTTGCTTCAAGGTATGTAGAGAAGAGGAAAATTCACTGCGTGGGTTGTAGCCTGAAAAGTGTCGTGGTTGAGCCTGGTCGGCAGCCAACCACCACACAGCTACTCTCTCTCCCTTCTCTTCTGGCAATAAGAAGGGACAGAGAGCCAGGCTTGGGGTTTGAGAAAGGGCTGGGATGGGGAAAAAAATCCCCCTTTATGGTCACGAGCAAAAGGCAGACTCGTTAGGGGAAGAGAAAAAAGAACGTACGTTTATTACAGACACTACCAACACGTAACAGAGTAGGACAGTGAGAAGCATTGCCACATCTTGAGAACACCTTCCCCCCACCCCTCCCTTCTTCCCGGGCTCAGCTCTGCTCCCGATATCTCTACCTCCTCCCCCAGTGGCGCAGGGGCAGGGAATGGGGGGTGCAGTCAGTGCTGTCGCTGCTTCCATCTTTGGTGGGGGGAGCTTCTGGAACTTCTTCCCCCTGCTCCCTCGTGGTCCCCCTCTCACAGGAGACAGTCCTCCACAAACTTTCTCCGACATGAGTCCCTCCCACAGCTGCAGCCCTTCCCGAGCTGCTCTGGCGTGGGACACCCCCACATGCTGCAATCCTCCCAGCGCTGAATTACAGCAGCGGGGCTGCCTTTTCACACAAGACCCCGGCCTTCTTCGGGCACAGAACCTTGATCATCCAGGTGAAATGAAACACAGGCCATAAATCAATGTCTGCTCCACCGTAGCTCTCCATGGGTGGTAGGGGGGGCCGCCCTGCCGTCTCACCACAGGATACAGGGGGGTCTCTGCTCCGGCACACCTCCCCCCTCCTTTCTTCCTCCGTTCCTCCACTGACCTTGGTGTTCACGCAGCTGCCGCAACTCCTCCTCACCAGTCCCACTGCTCCTCACCACGTCCCTTCTTAAATACGTTATCGCAGAGGCGCAGCCGATTAGCTCAGTTTCCCAAACAGAAGTGGAGCTGACTTGGAGCTGGGGGAGCTTCGAGAAGGTTGCCACCCTGATAGCCCCCTCCCCTGCCACCAAAAAAACTCCATCACTCACTCAACCCAGGACAAAAGTAAAGTGCTTTGGCCTATCTGAGAAATCTGCCCTGGGACTGCACTTTGGGGTCTGGAAGAGTAGAAGCTGAGGATTTGGAGTGGGTTGGGGTAGGAGAATCTGTAAGTCAAATAGGCTGTAGGTGACAGTGTTTCTCCTGGGTTTCATGGGACTGGCATGACTTACATTTTCAGAATATTTTCCTTAGTCTACTGGAAGACCAGGGGCTGTGCATAATCAATCAAGTTGAAAGCATTCTGTGAGAATTTTTGGTGTGTTTTCTTTTTTTTTGTGTGTGTGTGTTTTGGTTTTTTTTTTTTTGTTTGTTTTGTTTGTTTGTTTGTTTTTTGGGGGTTTTGTTGTTTTATTTTTTTGGTTGGTTGATTGGTTGGTTTGGGGCTAAGGTATGTTTCTCATGAGGGTTAAGCAACACACTGGGTTTTTTTATTTTTATTGTATATTTTATTTTATAGGTAGACACAAAATAAACTGATTTCCCTAACTATTGAAATTCAGTGAACTATTAAGCCTATAGTATTGTCACAGGCTTGCTTGGCATGTCACAAAATGTTTACAGACTGAAATAGTAGCAAAGGTTGAGTTTTATCTTGATGAGATGTTTATTGCTTTAAGTCCTGTTATGCAAGTTTAGCGGTGATAACCTTAGTTTTGTTGAAGTCTGAGTGACACTAAGTGCTTGAGCGACTTTATTTGCTGATGGAGGGACCTTGAGAATGCTTAATTGAGCATTGTGTTGTTTTCGAGGTGAAAAAGATTTACAGTCAGAATTTTTGAGTGTAAAGCTGCTAGACCTCTCTATTGACACATTTAAGCAGGATTCCTGATGACTGTAAAGGAATACATGGTATTTCTGTAGGGTAAAGTGACAAATGTGAACTACTAACAAAGAAGAGAGTGAACTACTCTGAAGATTTCAGTAAAGAGTAAGCTGTTTGTGTCTGAATCTGGAAAACCTAAAAGTGAAGTAGCCTGTATATCAAATTATGTATTTAATGGAGGAAGGACATGCTTCTATGTCCATTTATAAGAGAGTTTAAGTCTACTAAGTGTTAAGATTTTATATTTTGAGTTACTAGAATGATTTACTCACTCTGACCTCTCATGCCATCATTAATCATGGATTAGGCCCAAATGTGGTATAAGATTTACATGACATTAAATTGCAGAAATGTATTTCAAATAAATGACAACACTGGTTGCTACTGTGACTGGGCTGCCAGACATCTCTTGTGTTCTGGTCTTAATCTTACCATTTACTAGGGGAAGCCATCTCCATTCTTTTTTCCGAGGAGCATTTAATTTGGCATACTAAGAAGATGGAATATACACGTGCATCTGCACTCAAAAAACCCAGGTTATTGCTGCTATGCACTTAACTAAGTACAGGTATCTTGCCCATACATATCTGAGACTTCTCTTTTGTACTTACCATCTGGTCCCTTTCTTCACTGCAGAGAACAGTAATTCTGTAAACAAATGTAAATCTTAAACCACTCATGTATCCCTGGAGAAGGGGTGTATGATTGTAAATAGTTCTGTGAGTATACAAGAATTTCTGGGTGAAGGTCTGTGAATGTTAGTAGACAAATAATGGTGTGCTTTGTTAAGTTTCTTTGCAATTAACTAAATCCTGCTGTTGAAACATGAAGTTCTAATTGATTTTTTTTCCCCCCATTTTAGTAATAATTGAATCACTGAGAGGTCTGCCTCCAGTAAATGAGGAAAGCATAATTTTTAAAGAAAATCGGCAAGCAGCAGGAAAGGTGTGTGTGAAGTATAAAAACCTGTTATTCTAATATAAAGTTCAAAGTATTTTTTTATGTTCCAACAAGTAGCAATGAAGTTGACTAAAAGAAGGTAACGTTTTCTTGATATGTAGTTTTCCTTTGTGCTTTTGACTCTTGCTATAGTCATCTATTTTTTATTCTCAAGAATTCCTAACCTGGAATTCATTGCATCCTTACAGAGTTACAATGTGTGATAAATCTCTGCTATTTTATGAGAGTGCTTGTGGAGAGGGAGAGGTTGCTCTCAGATGTATGATGTATTGAATAACAGGCTGTGCTCTTTTGTTGTCAGGAGTTGGGAGCAAAGATTGGAGAAATTAGAGTAAAATTTCAGGAAAAATAGGGAATGTTTATATATCTGTACTCTGCTGTTTCAGTTTAAGGCCAGTGTGTGCTTTATGCAAGTATAATGAAGAATGTTTGCTGAGAGGGGTGCTGCATTGAATTTTGTATGTATTCTAGGGAAAGAAAGACATCATGTAGAATGGTTACTACTATAATATGTCTTTGCATGCCAGATGTGATTGAAACAAAAAAAAAACCTCAGCCTGAAATAACTGCATGTTTTCCACATGTCAGAATTCTCTGCTCTACATGGAATTGGGGAACAGAGAGGGGAATTAATGTAGAGGCATCTTGTAAAGATGAACTTTGAGGAATAAATGATCAGGAGATTGTTCCAGGTGAAAAAGATTTGAAAACATAATGGAGAATGAATAGAGATTTGACAGAGGGAGAGATTACTGCTGTAGGGGAAGCAGACAGTGAAAGCAGTGCTGCTGAGTGGCAGAAGGCAATGTCAACATGTGAGAACTTTTCCACATTATAACTTAAATTGTAGCTGGGGATATATACTGTCAAATCAAATGTAACAATGAAAATAAAGCATGAAAGTACCTTTATCTAATGCTGCATTTTGAAAATATGTCAAAATTCTTAAATACAAAGCATCTTAAAGGTTCATGGTTGTCTACAATTAAATTAGCTATCTACTCTTGGTGGTTTATTTAAACATTTTAATTTTGTTTGTGTTTCAGATATTTGAGATATTTGGTCCTGTTTTACATCCCTTTTATGTGTTAAGGTTTAACAGCTCTGAGCATATCAAAGCAAAAGGTATTAACGTGCAAGATAGCATGTATTTTGCTCCATCGGTGGAGGACTTCACCCAGTATATATTTGCAGAGAAACTAAAACAGTGAGTCTGATTTTACTTTTTTTTTTTTTTTTTGTTCCTAATCTGGTTATAATGTCTTTTTAAATACAGTTAAAATTCTGGATGAAAGTTTACCCTTGAGTGAGAAACTGTAGGACTAAGCTTGACACTAAAACTTTTATTTTTTCAGATATTCTCAACTGTGTTGTAGTAATAAGGTACTGTTTTGCCTTTTGGAACGGTACAGAGTTGCTGTAAACTACAAGCTTCTAAAGTCTTATAATTACTAAAGTTTAGTAGCTTCTTATTCAGTTTAATATGTTAAGCTTTGTTTCTTTTCATTTTTCTCTGTTACCTAAAATACCAGAACACGAAAGAAATTCATTGATAGACTTCCTTCCCCCACGCAGTCTCACACATACATATGCAATGGTTTTGCAAGCTGAACTTTCCAGATTTTGTTGTTCTTCACTTTCTTGTTTAGTTTCAGAACTTACAATAAACTTGTTTGAATCCTGAACAAGTTTGTATTTATTTACTATTTTTATTTCATGTTACAAGGCTAGAACTGAAATTTAATTATCAATAAATCTGTTGTTGGAGAATAACAATTCTGTATGAAAATCACCTGCTGTAAATTTGCAAGAGGGGGAGGGATTTGAGTGGCAATGTGGTATGATGTTCAGAAACTTCTAGTGTTTGTGTGTTCTACGTGGTCTGCCTGAGAAAAGTAGCATTTATGAATAGGACTTATTTCCATTTAAAGGTAGTGTACTCAAAGATACAGCATAAGAAATAAAGCATAATAAATGACTGCTAGACATTAGTGTTCCAATTACTGATGAATAATAATCTGAGGTAACTATAGGTTAAAAATCCTTTGTCATACAAGCAATTTAGTCTATGTTTATTAGGAGTAGTTCTCATCTGACTTGCAGATTTTTTCTGACAATAGTATTGGTGTCTGCATTAATTGCAACTCTGCCAGTATTAGTACTGAATAATTCTTTTTTTTTAGTCATGCATGTGTGGTCAGGCCTGCAGGAGTCGTTTTGTTTGTTTTGGTGTGTTTTTCTTTTTCTTTCCCATTTCTGTGGAAGCAGCAAGCATTGTTTTTTCCTTTCAGTGAAGACCAAAATAGATCACTTTCTCACTCTGCCGCTTGTTTGTTTTTCTGCAGCATTTTGATGCCAGCTGGTCTTTGATTTGTTCCATTAAACTTTGTTGCTTAGCACAATAACTGCAGAGACTTTAATCATCTGCTTGCTACATCAATAACAGTGTGCCATACTCAGCATCTGAGACCTGAGACTTGTGTTTCAGTTTGTTACATGCTTTGCAGGTAGCTTTGGGAACTATTTGTCTTTTGGTAGTACTTTACTATCAGATATGGTACAAAATTGAACACAAGATGTTTCATGCTTTTCATGGTTTATCAGTGCAGCTGAACAGTGCATCAGACATTGTTTCTTGCCCTGCATTAAAATGAGCAGTGTGAATACCTGTGGAATTTGGTGTAAACCGTAATTTTTGAATAATGTGACATAAATTACATTTCACTGAAACAGTATTTTATTTCTGAGTTTTGTCAGTAAAGTTTCTTAAGCTTTTATGAGGCAATTGGTACTATTTGTTGAAGCTACTGTTTCACAAAGTAAGTATCACTGAAAAAGGATAAGGAATTTTGACTTCTACCTGTGCTGTAATGTCTATATAAAGAAGCCAAGATGGCATGGATAGTAGAAAAGTCGAGCTCTGGTCAGTGCTTCACAAGAAAGCTTTTGGACTTTAGCAGATTGCAAATTTGATGACCAATGATTTTTATTTTCTGCTTTTTGTTAGTTTGACTGTGTGCAGACCGGCTTGTGTAGTAGTACAGTCTTAAAGTTTTAGAACTGCTACTCAAAAATGTGATGGTACTTTGAATAGGAAAGGAATCAGGATTAAGATCTGAAAGAAGCCTTAAATTTGAAGGTGGTTTTCTGAAATCTGGAGTGCAATCTGCTTGCATTGTACAAAGATGCAGTGCTATGAGTAGGCCTTACACTCTGTAGCAAAAATAAATGAAAATGTAGTGTAAAACTTCTTGAACGTGAAGTAATATGTTGCTAAAAATACATTAATGTTGTACTGCCTGAAACACAAAGTAATTCTAAAAAAGCTTATGTGTTTTCATGGTTCCTCTGAGTCACCTTTTGTTAGACTTCCAGATTTTACAGTATTTGAGTTCAGAAATCAAAGAATTCCTATCTTGTTCTTTGCAGAAGATTATTTAATATCTCAGAGCATGAAAAGTGTTTTGTGTTTTGCTGAAATGGGGAAGGCTGCCTTGGGAGAGGGAGATAAGCTGCCTGAAGAATTTACAAGGTTTACATTTTGCAGTCAGTAGTACTACATATGGCCTAATGATCACAGGTCTTGGAGTTTCTGGCATGCTCTGGTAATTCTGGCAGGCATGTATTACCCCAAAATAACAAGATGAGAGGGAGAAACAAGTTGGTTCATAATAAAAAAAAATGAAGTGCTATGTTTCATCTTTGCATAGGTAGAGTTTTCTGCAACTGAGAAATTACTCCTATAGAGCCCTTACCTTCCTTTCCTCCCTATAATGTTTTCTCCTAATTGATCTTTAAAATGGCTTGCTTGCTAATATGATTTGCTCATAATCTCAGAGGTGGTGTGTCTTTGGTTTTCTAGTGGTATGTAGAGATTGAGCTTCAGTTTTATGGTTAGGGGTTGGGGCACAAAGTACCTCCAGGTGACTTCCAGTGATCTAATGGGCAGCCTTTGACTAAGGGCCTCTTAAGTCCAGGCTACCTAGAGCTGATGGTTATGTACTTTGATGCAGCTATTGCTGCCTGATTGCTGCTGACTTGATGGATATATAAAAAACAGCTTGGTTTTTAGAGCACTGATTGAAGGCATTTGTCACTGAACACACTGATGTTTTTTGAATGACTATGCGGTTCCATTTTGCAAGTAAGAATTTTCAGCACTGCATTATTTTATATGGTTTGTCTGCATAGATAAGGATTGCATCTTGACGTTTCAGACCAAAATGTATTAAATTTGCAAGCAGTATGGAAAGACCTTCTACAGACTTTTAAGAGCATAATTTTAAATTTGTTCAACAAATGTGTTGCTAACCAATGAAATGACTTGATTTTTAGTGAAGTTCTTAGTGGGGGATAAAATAAATGATACCGCTTCAAATTTATTTTGGTGCTTGTTGGGCAAGACAATTGAGTTTTTGCTTCTTTTAAATGTCTTTTATCTTGCTTTTAGATTTTATGCTTACAATAAAATAGAAGATGAAACCTAATTATATAGCTAACACTGTCTTAATAAAATCGTAAGCTGAACTTGAAAGGTTCCAAATTCACTTCACTGTAGTTATACTTAAAGCCTGTGTCTTACTGGACTTGTTCATTGTCCTTTTTATCTGTCAATGTGTGTTCTGAAACCAGAAGAAAGCTTATGACTGTAGCCAGCAGTTAGCATAAGAAAGTTGTAGTGAACTCCCTCAATTCAGGTTCAAAGCAGTTTAGGTTCAAAAGGATGTGTTGAGAGAATATTGATCAAAGGTTAATATTAGCTGTGTGAAATGTTCAGTCTTCACTCAAAGTAGGAAGATTTTTCAAGTGGCGTATGTAGTAGAGTCCTAAGTTGACACATACATTACTATTAACTTAGAAACAACATTAAAAAACAAATGCCTCTTTTAAGACAGGAGCTCCCTGGTGTAGAAGATCTGATACCTTGAAGAAATACCGGATATCCTATTTGCTCTGTACAGTTCTTGCAAACTATTTCTAACCTGGAATATGTTGCTACTACATGATTCAAACAAGAGATGTTTCATAACCTCCATTACACCAACTTCCTTCATCTTGATTTTCTAATTTGTGGTTTGTTTGTTCTTTTCTTTTAGGGAAAAAGGTTCAGATGCATCTTGGAAGAATGACCAAGAACCACCACCTGAAGTAACTATAGCTTTTTTGTTTGTTTGTTTATTGGTTTTGATTACAAAAGATATAGGTAGATAAATTTCTGTGCAGAGTAACTAATTACTAAGAATATTTTTTTACACAGACAGGAGTTGGTCATGCTTTTCTTGGAGGGGTGTCTCAGTCAGTGTAGAGAGTGCTAGCTGTCTTTCTGCTTGCTTTCTGCAGTTGGAAGAACATGTATCTTCAGTTCCTCTAGTCCTTCAAGAACATGTGTGGCAACCTGAATATTCAACTTTAAGTAGCAGTGCTTTAGTTTTGCTTCTGCTAGGGAATTTTTGTCCTTGCTGTTCTTTGACTGCAGCTTCGTCTTTTACCTTGACACTATGAAGGCCTGCTAGTACTCTGCAAACTGTAGTACTTTAGTGTTTAAGCTGTCTGCTGTGTTAGATTAACTTGACACCTCCTCTGTTGCATTCTTTGAATGGTTTCTTAGTAAGGCTTCCCTACTGTTTCCTATTTTAAAACACTAATTTCATGAGAGGAGACGAGCCTCTTTCATACAAAGGCAGTCATACAGGATCATGTAGAAGTGAGAGCTGCTCACAGCCATTGACATCATTTACTGTAGGATCTGTAAAGATTTTTCCAGTGATATCCAGGCTTCCTGACCAGTGCTCCTTAACTCCTCTCTAACTCTACTTTTCATGACTGTTCTCTTCTTCGGTAAGAATCACAGTGCTGGTAATTTTATTGAGGTGTTCTAATGAGATTTGTTTTCTAGCTCAACACTTGAGTCACTTTGCCTTTCAATTTCTGCTTTAATCATATCTTCTCCAAGATAGCTGAAATTCCTAAAATTGTTGTGTCTACCCTAGGATCCTGAAGAGATCTCTCTATCTGCTTGTTTTGAATCTTCCGAAAACTTGCATGCTTAGCCCCGAACTGTGTTACGTAATATGTGCTTCTTACTGTATAATTAAGTAGGAAGGGTGTTTTTTGTGGGTTGATTTGTTTTGTTTTGTGGTTTGGGTTTTGTTGTTGTTTTGGGGTTGGTTTGTTTTTGTTGTTTTGTTTTTTTGTTTTTTTCTTTTGTGTTCAAACCAATTTTTAGAATAGAATAGACTATGTCAGTTGAAAATGACCTACAGCGATCATCTAGTCCAACTGCCTGACCAATTCAGGGCTGACCAAAAGTTAAAGCATGTAATTAAGCACATTGTCCAAACTCCTCTTAAACACTGACCGGCTTGAGGCATCGACCACCTCTCTAGGTGGCCTGTGTTCCAGTGTTCTGCCACCCTCTCGGTAAAGAAAGGCTTCCTAAAGCCCGGCCTAACCCTCCCCTGGTGCAGCCTTGAACCACTCCCCAGCGTCCCGTCCCCGGATCCCCGGGGGAAGAGCTCAGCACCTCCCTCTCCACGGCCCCCCCCCGGGAGGTCGCCCCTCGGCCTCCTCTGCTCCAGGCCCAAAGCCCCCAGCCGCCCCTCACAGCCCGTGCCCCCCAGCCCCCCCCCAGCTCTGTTGCCTCCTCTGGACGCACCCCAGGACCTGGACGTCCCTCCTGGAGCCGCGGGGCCCGGCCCGGCCCTCGAGGTGAGGCCGCCCCGAGGCCGAGCACAGCGGGGGGGGGGGGGGGGATAATCCCCTCTCCTGCCCGGCCGGCCGGGCTGTGTTTGACGCCCTCGGGGCTGCCGGGGCCCAGCGCTGGCTGGTGCTGAGCCTGCTGGCGCCCAGCACCCCCACACCCCTTCCTGCAGGGAGGCTCTCCAGCCGCTCCTCTCCCCCCTTGTACCCGTGCCCAGCATTACTCCACCCTAGGTGCAGAATTCAGTATTTCAACTTGTTAAGTTTCATTCCATTCATCACTGCCCAATGCTCCAATCTATCTGTATCCCTCTGCAAGGCCCCTTGTCCCTCGAGAGAGTCAACAGCACCTCCCATTTTGGTATCATCAGCAAACTTGCTAACGGAGCATTCAACTCCTGCATCCAGATTGTTGATAAATACATCGGGCAGGACTGGCCCTAGAATTGAACCCTGAGGAGCACCGCTGGTAACTGGTTGCCAGCCAGGTGTAGCCCCATTCACTACAACCCTGTGAGCCATCCAGCCAGTTCTTCACCCAGTGTACCACAAACCCACTCATCCCACAGTTGAACAACTTGTCTAGAAGGATGCTGTGAGGGACAGGATCATGCTGTGAGGGTCTGTCAGTTTTTGCATTCACGGTCCTTATCCCAAGCTTTTTGTTCTGATTTGAAGGAGAGATGTTGTGATAGGCTTTTCCATGCTTGAAGATAGGTCCTGTAATGATGTATCAGTTTGTTAATCCAGAATGTTGGATTTTCTGTTTTAATTCCCACAAATGAAACTGAGCTGAGCAGTGTTAACTTTCCTCAGAGAATGCTTGACTGTCAGTTCTGACTGTAAATTGTCTTCCTTTCTCAAGGAGGCATAATCACACAGAGGGTCATCATTTGAGAATCAAAAGTGTTGCATAGAATTGAACTGTAGGTACAATTGATCAGTAGAGCTTTGAAACACTGTGTATACTTAGAAACTTTTGGCTAGTCTTAGCTTGCTTTTGTTGAACAATTTTCTAGTGATGGTGATACAAAAATGTGCTTATTGGATAATGGTGAGCTCTCTTTTTGTTTTAGTCATATTTTTAAAGCTGTTCAGGAGACAAGCTTGTAAATATGTAATTTGAATTTGGAGGAAACTAAGTAACTTCAAAATTTGGCTAAATACATTCAAGCAGTCAAATCTTCTGCAGATACAGATTCATTGCTTTTTCCAAAGTTGTTTGTGTTTTTTTTTTTTTTTTTTAAGTTTTTTTTTAATTGTGATACTATTACCTTCAGGTTAGAATCTGAAAGTACAGGGAGAACTTTACGTTTACTGTACTTCACTATAGGAAGGAAGGAAGCTTGAATGAAATTGGTGATGCAAGGATGGGCAAACTTAATTTCTTTTTATGACAACTTTCTTTCTGTGACTGTTCTAGCTTTGCCATATGTCTCTGTGCTCTGTTTTGGAGGAAAAGCCACATGTAACATTTTGTAATCCTTAACTGGAATAATCTGTGGATAGTTCTAGCAGTTAGAGTTTACACTAAGATATCCAGACTGAGACAGCTGATGAGCTGATAGAAGGTAGCTTTTGCTGTGAAGGTAATAGCTGTTGACAAGGGTGCAGATTAAATTTTATGCTATTGATGCTTGAAATTGTCTCTTACAGCCAGACACTTTTAGAGCCCTCAGCTGGCAGCTGCTTCTCTAACTTTTCTGGCCGGCTCCCATAGAAAACTGCATGCAATTGCTGAAGTCGGTTCCTTTTGTGATACTGTGAAGCTTTATTTTTATGTGAATGTTAAATTAATCCATGTTGGGCTCTTTTATGCTTGCTACTTCAAGGTATATGGTAAGTGTTAATTTTCTGACAGGCTGGTAATTAGCCCATCTTAATTGTTGACTCAGTAATACAATCTCTCTTGGCCTTGCCTTTGGGGTCATAGGATGGCAAGGTATGATCTGTATGCAACAAGGCTAATGGGAGCAGATAACTGATTTCTCTGTGAGCGGGCTTTCATGGAATGTTATATGGCAATTAGCAAGCATCAGAAGGTACTTGTTATTTCTGCTCTACTGGAGGATAGTGTATAAAAATCCTTAGAAAAAGCAGGAGTTGGCGAAAGATTTTCTTTCATGGTATATATTATCTCGTATTCCTTGTGGCTTTTTTGGAGTGAGAATGTAATCCAGTTATGTAGATGCAGAAATAGTTGTATTCAGAATTAACTTTTACGTGGCTTTTTTAGCACTGTTCTAGTGCAGTGTTTTTGAGATCCAGGCTCTGTATATACTGTAGAGATACATCACTAATCAGCAAAGCCTTTCCTTTCAGAATTGAGAAGGAGAGGATGAGAACAAACCCTACCCCTTTAAGTCATATGAGCGAGCTGTTTTTCAGGGCACCAATTACGCTGACAGATTTCTTACCTGCACTAGTAACTTTTCTTCATCGTAAATGTAAACTAGGATTTTAAAAGTAGCAAGACTTTGTGTAAAAGGAACGGAATGTTGCAGTGACATTGAATCTATTGTAAATATCAACCTTTTCCAAAGCTGAAAATTTCTTTGGAATAACATTGCTATTGCAAGTTTAACAGGAATGGTGCTATTAAGTATACTACAGAAAATTCCAATTTAGTGGCAATTTTAGACTAGAGATATTTCTAATGTAGTTTAACTGTGCTAAGTCTTGGTTGCCAAATTAAAGTTAACTTGTTTTAAGAATCCGTATTTTAATTCACCAAGTCTGCAGTTTGCCTTTCTAAAGCTTTTTCTTAGCAATAACTAGCCATCTCCCTCAGAAATTAATAATTTTTTTCTTACTAACATCTAGGCAGTCAAAACTTTGTGTTCAGGAAAATTAGAAGAAATAACTGAGTATTGTATAATTGTCTCATGAGGAGTTTGTGGAGTGTTAAGTTCTTGATTGTGTTGAGAAGCCAGCTGTACTCACGGTGGCTCTTTGAATGCAAAGTAGGAAAGTGCAGCTTTAATATTCTTCTAAACTGACTGCAGGATGGATTGTTTTCTAAATAATGATTTATTGCTAGAACTGAAGTTCTCTGCAGTCTTTGTATGGCTTCATTCTCTTTTTTTTTTTTTTTTTTTTTTAATTAACCAGGCCTTGGATTTCAGTGATGATGAAAAAGAAAGAGAAGCAAAACATAAGAAAAAGAAGCCTCAAAGTCAAGGAAGGAAGAAAGTCAGATCAGAAACAAATGCATCAAGTGAGTGAATGCTATGGGAGAATGCTTTTAGCTGATAAGCTGAATTCGAAATACACAGTATTATCTGTCTTAATGATTGAGCTTTCATACAGTTAATCAGTATTTCTGTGCTTTTCAAAGTTACGTTAGTGAATTTATGGCTATGTTCCTTATTTTTTTAAAAAAGGAAAATGAACGTTTCTTCCATTGAACTGTAAAAGGGAAGTAATGTAGTAGGACGCTTGTCAGAGAAGATTCAAAGGCTCTTAAAACTGTCAGCTGACACACAGTGAGGATATAGAACAGATGCCACCTTTTGGAGTTTAGAGCTTGCTTACTGCAGGGGTTATTGGGGCCCAAGTTTAGCTTAAGCCTTTGAATGCAGGAAGAAGATAGACGAAGGCCTTGTAGCTTTTGGAAACCCGTTTTTTTGACAGAAGACACAAGTCTTAGAGAAGGAATTTATTCCTCTGAAAAGGAAGGCCTTCCTCACCCATGGCTTATAAATACTCCCTTAAAATAACTGCTACTTGTGTTAGCCCACTGCGAACCTCTCTGTTTACCTAACACAGTCATTAGGTAAACAAGCATAGAGAAATTTAATAAACTATGTAAAATTTTTCTTAGTATACATAGCCTTCTTCACCTTCCTTTCTCCTGCTGTTGACAGATTTGTTCCAGATGTGTGCTTGCAGCTGTGCTCTATCTGCAATAACTAAATTTTTCTATCTGTATTCTCTCGTGCCTCTCTATGGGCAAAACTTTTTTCTTTTTGGTTGCCTCTTTGGTTGAGTAATTTAAATCACATTGCTCTTTCTCTTCTAGTCTGCTTCTGTTGCATGTTTTTTGTACCACTCCACTTAAATACTGCTGATTCTCATCCCTTCCCTTCTTCTGCTTCTGCTCACATATCAGGTTGCTTCAGCTGTCTGCAGCACAGTGCTTCCCCCACTTGGACTGACTCCTTCCATGAATTTGCCGATCTTCCTTTGTAAAGCTGCCAGACATTGTGCACCACTGACCCCCTTTTGTCTTGATTTGGGAAGTCAGTAACTGTCCTATTAACCCTTTTATTCTGTGTAGACTACATCCCTCCCTTGTGCCCTTTAAATACAGCTGCAATCTTTCTTCAGTTGGCTTTTGCCCTATGGTTTTGACAGTTTTCCCTTAAGGGAAGGATCTGAAATTGTGCCATACTTTCCTTTCGTTGCTGATGGTTATCTCCTGATTTCTGCATATCTAGCATATGGCATGTTTTCCAACATGTCCTTATTCTGTCAGTTTATTGCAGACCTGCCACTGCCTAGGGCTTGCTGAGGCTGTTACTGACCTGTGTTTCATAACTGAGAACACAATGGGAGGAACTGTCTCAGTCTGTCAAGGGAGTATAGGTTATGATTTACTGTGTTTTTCTGTAAATAATCTGGTAGAAATTGACATTCCATGTGATTTAGTTTGGCTGTGGAATTCAGCAAGGATATCTGGGAAATTGAGGCACAAACTCAGTCTCAGCCAGCATTCTGCTTGGTTGCATCTTCATAAAACTCTGAGTATATTAAAATTGGCTCATTATTATAGTCTTTGATAGGAAAAGAAAGAACAAAAATATTCACTCAAGTACTTTCACTTCAGTGCTTCTGAGTGCCTTGCATGCACAAAAGGAGTCTGAAGTCATAATCCCCCATGAAAATGAGTAGGAATTTTGGTATTCAACTACCTTTCCAGACTTAGATTTTTCAAAGGTGAAAATGTTTTTATGTAGTCTATTGCCAAGGATTAGGTCTGCATAAGTTCTTAAAATTCAGTGATTTTTGTGCAGTGTTATGTCCCTAAATACCTTTTTGTTTCTAGCCCTAAAGTCCTGTGGAGATCATGGTTCAGTTTAAATTTTACAGCCTTTTGAATATCTTAGCAGCCCTTTGTAACATTTTTAATATTTCGGTGCTCTTAATTTTATAGCACTTATCCCATTAATACTCTTATGGTATTTATATAAAGTCACAGTACATTTGTTATGATCCTTAGATATAGGCTTACAGTGACCTGTACGGTAAAAAATTATCTTAGAAAGATGAATGCTGAAAGCTAATTGTCTAAAGGTACAGGCTGCCTATTTTTCTGGTAGAGAAGTTAATTTTATTAATTTGAGTTTGAATAATTTCTTATGTCCTGTGTTTGTGCCATAATACTAACTCAGGTCTGAAAGCTGTATACCACTTTAGTGTAATACAGTGTTGATTTATCTTCAGTTTTAAAATGTGTTGCTTTGAAATCTTGTTTCAAACCAAAGCTTCCAAAATACTCACAGTTTGAGTATTCCTGTGATTCATTAATACAAATGAAAATGCCTGGAGGGAAAGAATGTGACATTTCTTTCTTAATGACTGAATTTGCAACCCTCAGGATACTTCTTTCTATATTGATCTAATAAATCAAGATGAGTTACTAAACAGTAGACTTGTGAGTATTATTTTGTTGTTTATTATATGCAGTATTATTTGTTGATGGGATTACTTCTCAGATTTCTCTGACTTCAGCGTGAAAGATTTGAGAGGACTAAACTTAATCTTTCCACAATAATAAATATTAAAAATGTGTGTCTCTGTTTTGTTTTGTTTTAAGGTGAGAATAAAGGACTCCATCAGTCAATGCTGCAGCCTGCTTTAAGTTATTCAAGGGGATACCGTGGCAGAGGGTTCTCCAGGGATCCATTCCCTCCTCCATCAGGCCCTCCAGGTTTTTTGAGATCGCAAGCAAGACCACCACAGGTATACTCTTCAGAGAACAGAATACATCAGGAATCTCCAGTGTTTCCACAGCCTCATAGAAAAGAAAATCCAATGATGCAACAGTATCCCTTTCCTCCTCCAGTTTTTGGTTCTGTTAATGATGTGCATCAATTCCACCTTCCGCCTTCAAATCTGAATATGATTTGGACAGGCCCAAACATGTACAACTCATCATACCCATTTTTACCACCTCCACCACCGCCTCCTCCACCTCCTTCAGATAGCCAGCCTTCTCACTTCAGGCCTTACTAAGTTTCTGTAAACATGCAGACAGAGCATTGCCATTGAATGGGGGGAAGAGCAGGCTGTCAAGACTGTATTCCCTTATTTTGGAGATGCTTCATTTTTCTGCAACAGTAGAACAAATGCAGAGTTCGATGCTTTGTCAGATATCCATAGAAAACTATTTTTTTTTCTATATATGTTTTAGGTTTCAAAAAAGAAAACTGTATGACAAAAACAAGCGAATATTAAGCAATGGTTTATTTTTATAATATCTATTAGTTTGGGATGATAAATAAAAACTTTTTGGAAACTGGTATGTAGTGGTGGAAATCTATTTTGTAATAAATTTTAAGAGTTTGTGTAGCTACTGTCCGATAGTGATGAAGGTATGTCACGTAGATGGTATTTTAATATTTTTAGAGTGGTTGTATATTGCTATGGTAAACCATTTTTCTCAATTTCTGCAAATTTTGAAATCTACTTGCATGGAAACTTAAAAATATGACACCTAGATTTTAAACTAGATTTGCCACTGCTTATATAAGGTATAAACTCCTGTTACCTGACTTTTAATGTTTTGTTCATTTTATATTAACTAAAAGACTGGAGCTGGATAGTCTTTTTTTTTTTTTTTTAAATAACTGGAGTAGGTAGATCAGAATTTGGACCAGCAGTTGAATTACCCCCTTAGATTTAGTGTCCTACAATAGCTATAGAAGATCAATTTAGGATTAGATGTTTTGCAGTTAATTTAGGATATAAAACAGTATGGTATGGGGAAATTAAAAACCAGCATAACTTCTCCAGCTTGTCTCTGCTCCTAGTGCAGAAATGACCGTAGATACATCCAGTACTTAGCCTTTCTAGGAAAGAAGCCATCAGACCAGTCAGGGAGAGAAAGTATGCCATTTCAGTACTTCCTTGTTTAAATTTGTATCCAAAATGCAGATAGTACAAGATTGCTGTTTGATTTTCTTTCAGAAGACACAAGGTATATCAACTCTCCCATCTTGTTTGTATGAGGAGGGTGGAATTGTCAGCCAAAGATGGCCCGGAACAACCTCCACCTGACCAAAGGGTCAGCCTTAAAATTGCTCTTCCTTAGTTTCCATGGAAGTGTCTCTGACTAACTAGAATGGGAAACCCTTACACTGCATGAAGGATTTAAAAAGAAGAAAAAAAATAATTGTGGGACAGACAAATATTATTTTTTTCCACTGAAAAAGCATTACTAGTTGTAATGGGTTTTGAATCATTAATCAACAGTACAATTGCTTTGAACCATTGAACAGAACTGATAGAAGTGTACAGTATGTATTTCTATTCTCAAACTCATACTGGACTCATTACTTTGGATAAGTATTTAAAGGCTGATTAAGATCTGTAGGTGTTGCTTAGACTTTTGCTCGTAATTCCAAATAACTTGAAGCAAAAATTTAATGCACAGAGGGAGGGACCATCTTGTTAAGATGCTGCTACTGTGAACTAGAATTTAATTTCAGACTTCCAAAGTTTTAATTCTTTTCTGTAATATATCTAAAACTATTTCATAGGTGTGCAACTGATAAGATTATATAGATCTCAAATTTCACAGCAAACAGGTACTGTACAGTAGAACAATAGCATTCCAGACAGTAATGTTTAACTCTGTTCTTGCAGATTTTTTTTTTTTTGGTAGTAAAAAGAATGTCCAGTTCTAGACTGTTGCTTATATTTAAGCAGAAAGGAGAAGAGGGTGAATTTCTGGCTGTTGAGGCTGTAGCCGAGCTCTTAGCATTGCTAGTGATGGGTCACTGTGAGTAAACTCACTACAGCCTCATGACTGAGTCGTAGCAGGTTTGATTTGTCTGAGTTTCCCTGGACTCACCTGGAGCTTTCTTTTTACTTGGTATAGCTATAACAGCAAATGAATGACCAGATGAGTATGATTCACTTGTTTTACGTGTACTTTTTGTTTTCTGTTGGCATGCGCGTAGGTTTTTACATAGATGGCAGCAGCAAGTAGTTACTCTGTGTACAATGGAGTATTTATGGCTTTAATGGAATAAGGTCGTGTAGAGGAATAGAGACTTGGCATGATAACAGAAGCCTGAAGTGGCAGTGCAGAGTGCAGTGTAGAGGTGTACCTGGATGTCAAGACGTGGGGCAGGGCTGGCACTGGAACTGCTGGGTTGCAGACTGTTCCCCAGTGGTCACCTGAAGAATGCAATCCTGCCTGTAGAAAACACTTGTTTTGAGTATAATGGAAAGGCAAAGCATATAACATGTGTAAAATGCACCATACGCAGTAAAATTGGATGTAATTGTGAACATGCGGACAGATGAAGAAAGAGCAAGATGTTAGGAGCATGTTACCGAACATAAAAGTGATCCCCAGTCAGTTGTAGGTTGAGGAAGAAACTGTCAATGTCGTGCTCAGGCTTGGGATGCTGATGACTTGCTGTGTGACCCAGGCACAAATGGATGGCATCAGCCTCGAGATCCCGAGGGTCGGCTGAAGGGTAAGCATAACACCAGGAAAAGGGGCGAGGTAACAGGAGGTATGTGTACAACAATTTTAAAGATTACTGCTATTGAGACATTTCTTTCATTTATAGCAATGTTCACTTTTTCCTGCAATAATTGGATCTAGAATAATAATAATTCGTTGATTAGTCTGCTAAGGCTTCAGTTATACTAAGGTGTATTCTCTTTTGTCATAACAATGTTTTGTGTGTAACAAAACCCAATATAAAATGAGGTTATGGGATGTTGTTTGACAGAAGTTTAATGCAGTCTAAGCTGTTTTATTAATGATTGGTAGTTAACTGCAATACTGGTTTTATGTGTACTTGTTTTTTGTTTTTTTTTTATGTTGAAACAAATTTTGCGTGTGTTCTGCAAGTGTGACCTGTACTCACTAAATGCAGAACTTTGCTTGGAATCGACCGTAATTCTTCATTATAAAATTACTTGAGAGCTAGGTATCATTACTGAGTTTGAAATATATGGAGCATTGATTTCCTTGCCTGAAATAGTATGTTGCACACAATGTCCCTTACACGGAAGAATAAGCATTGCAATAGATTGCTAGAGTAGCACCATCTTAGTTTGAAAACAGAGCTAATGTAACTTTTTTTTTTTATAAAAGATATTGAATGTAATCATTGATTATTAAGTTTCCTCATATAGCTCTGCAGTCAATAGCATTGCACAGGTACTGGCAGACTGTGACTCAGTGTGCTGAATGCTCGCTATTGAGAAAGCAGTGTAAACTTGCAGCAGTTTGGGATGACCAGAACCTGAGGTGTTTGCAAGTTTAGCTGTTTGCGGAAAGGAAATAAAACTGGGTACTCTTGATAGAAAAACTGAACGTCATGGACATACTTCTTTTGTACCTTTAACTCCTTGAAAACTGTCCCTCTCTTTGTCCACAGGGCTTTAAAGTCTTAACTGTAAAGCTTGGGAAAACTGACCTGACAATTTTAGTGGCAAGAATAGCTGGTTTTGTTTGGCCCCAGCTATTTTTATGTCAAGCTGTTTTATAGAAATCGATGTTACTCTGTCACTGTGTTACATTAAACACATTACTACATTAAAGTGTTAGAGCAGTGTGCTATAATAGGATTACAGTAACTCATCTGCTGAACTGCGCTCGTGTCTGGGACATCAGTCCAGTCCTAGATACAGCAGGGAGAGATCCTTGGCAAATGAAGCGCTTCGGACATTCATTTTTCTCTGCTGCTGGAAGTTGAACAGTAATGCACACCAGCTCAGTTCCTGATCAGTGCTAATTAGGAGTAGGTTGAGCTTTTTAATCTGAAATAATTTGGTGTGTAATGCACCCTTTCTAGAGATACTCCAAATTAAAAAAGCCAGCCAGCCAGAAAATAGAAGCCCTGAAATGTGAATTGTGCAGACATCAGGTTCTCAGCACCAACACTTTCTCTACAGATCTTATCTAGCTGGTCCACACTACTTGCCAACATAGGTTTAATTTTAATATTCTGCATGTACTGCAATAAACCTTATTTTTTGTAGATGCTACTTAGGCATCACTGTAGTTAAGGCTTCTAATACAGGCATACAAAGACAGAAGGGCTTGAAAATCTGTTCCTTCTGGCTGTTGATAGCGTTCAATCCTGACACCAGTTGACAATACCAGCAAACACCTATTTGCCAGGAATTTCACTGTGACCTATGTTTCAGCAGTTCACAGGTTAATGGATTAGTGCACTGATACGAGAAAAGGTGTTAAAGCCAGTGTTCTATTGAATAAAGTCATTGGAATATATCTGATAGGTTGTGTTTAAAAACAAACAAAACATCCAACTCTCCCCTATTCCCCTCCCCCCAACAACCAACCAAAGTGAAAAACAAATTAAAAAACAACCCATGCTAAATTTGTGAAGCAGATTCATGCAGTGAAATACTCAGCTGTGAGGGAAGAAGGAAAGTGTGGATCCCAGCTTCCGCAATGCTACTGAATACATTTAACGTTAGACCACCTGTTTAGAAAAAAACCAAACAAACAAACAAACAAAAAAAAAAAAAACCAAAAAACAGCCAGACTTTAATTTCTGAATTTTACTTTTCCAAGTGTACAGATATCATTTTGCAATTCTGCTGGGTAGCCCCCCTGTTTTGAATACAATAAATGTAAAATTACACTGTTCAGTGGTCCAAGATGAATTGGACTGGAGGAAAAATGCCATCATGCCTTATCTTCTCTGTGGAGTAACTTTACCTGTGAATTCATTTATGTTCCTTCAATTAACCAACATAATACACTACTTCTGTCTGAATACAGACTGTTTTTTCCAAATAAACGTGTTTGGTGTAGGAATACCACAATGGCATGTTTATTAACTTTCTCTCACTTTTTAAGCTTTACTAAACTGTTGGAAGGTTAAAACTTTACAATAGTTTGCTTGCATTCAATGAAGTGTAGTTGGGAAGTCTGTAAAGGCTTGAAAAGAAGAGAGCATTTCTTATTTTGTTGTTTTTTCCTTTCAAGTGTGGGTAAAGCAGTGTCAACATCAGAAAAATTCTGAGTCTAGGACAGAATTTTCAGAGATAACTCCCACCAGTCCTCCTGCCAAAGGTAGCAGGGATTGCTAGGCTCTGGGCTGTAGTGGGTTAGATGCAAGTCTTCAGTAAAGTATTATTTTTCTAGTAAACCAATATTTCTCTATGACTCATATGATGTCTGTTTTCAAATTCAGCTTGGAGAGCTGCAATACAGTCATGTTCTGTAACATTTTTAGTTATTCCCCCATGGTTTTTAAAGTTTCTTCATGGGCTGCTCTCCAGAGAAAGTTAAAGGCATGGGATGAGTGGCAAGCCAGATTGGGGAGAGACTTGAGGAAAAGCAGAATCTTAGGGGAGAGATTGGCTATAATTTCTCAAAAGGCTGAGGCTTATAAATAGAAGTACGCATGCAGTAAACTATTGGACTGTATAAATGACTGTAACTATGGTAACATGGGAAAATGAAACTTGTAATCACATACTTGGCAACATTCCTTTTAAA